TCATTAGAAAGCACATCTTTCCATTTAACCAAATCCTTGGGCCGTTGTGGATCCGAACAATGTCGTGTTGCTGCATTTTGGCCATTATCATCCAAATTTAAAAAATTTATAGTGAACAGAGCCATGGCAATGGCCATTTTTGGCGTTGGGGGCAACTCCTTCATTATTCCTCCTTTTTGTTTAAGTAGATATTCCATGGAGAGATGGATGGTTCTATGTGTCCCAGAACCAATTGCTCATTAATTAGCTGATTTACTGCTTTTAATTTTTTTAGAGGTAAGTGGCCATTGGGGAACCCATATTGGGGTCTCTGTTTTTTATGGTATGGGCCATGCTGTCCCAGTGGTGTCTAGGAAAAACCCAGACCCTGTTTGTTGATATTAGGTTTAGGATTTATTGGCTCCCACATTTCTTGCTTGGAGCGACCCAAGCCCTTTTTTGGCCTATGGCCCATTCTTATCATTATATCTTGGGCCTGAGATGAATATGTATTAGATAAGGTCAATCCCATACCCTGTATCATATCTCTTTCCCATAATTTGATTGGCAGGAGGACATATGGTGTAAAATATCCTGACTGCCCTTCGTCTGCTTCCTAGGTTAATCTGGTGGAGCTAATGGTGGGGTTTGCACTGTAGCCCAAGCCCTGTAGGGCATGAGACGACTTGGTAATGGGCCAGAACTGTGGCCATCAGCGCGATGAGATAATACTTTTGTCCGCGCCAGTGTCCAAAATGCCTTCGAAGCATTTACCATTAACCCAAAGGGGCAGTTTGGGTTGATCTTGAAGGCTAATAACCAAGTAGGCCAAGTCCTGTCCTGTTGACCCCATTAATTTATTTTTCGGCCTCTGGTGGATGTCTGCCAGGAGAAACAGTAACTGAGCTATCCTGTCTCCTTTACTGATGGAAAAAAACTCCATTAGGGCAAGAGCATAGGGCTTGTATTTCAGCAGTGTGCTGACTATCAACAAGGCCTGGGTGGACAATCAGTCCCTGTAGGGTAAGCGAGCCCCACCCTAAAAGCAGGCCCATGCTTCCAGGGGGTAGGGGCTCAGGCAGCTGCATAGGGATGGGCTGTACCCCCATTTGGGGCATCAACAGGAAGTCGGTGGAGGCACATATGTCCATTCTTGTTCTGCCTCTGAGGGTCCCTCGGTCGTTGCCCTGATGAACTTGTTCCCATATTTTTGGGGGCCCTGGGACCAAGGGCCCATCATCCCGTTTTTTGGACCATCAGTCTGTGGGTTTCCTAATGGTGGGAGGATCTTTCCATGGACATCCCTAGCGGAGCGGCAGAGCTCAGCCCTATGATAACCTTTACCACAGTGTGAGCAAAGGGTAGGAGGCGCTCTCTACTTTTCTGATGACCTATAATCCTTTTTTAAATGTTCTGGCTTCCCACATTTAAAGCAAACTCTTTTGTCTGGCCCTTTAAAAGGGCGTTTTTGTGACTGCATGATGGCTGCAGCCAAACCTGCATTCGTCAGGGGTCCTCCTAGTTCTCTACAGACCCGGAGCCAGTCCTGTAACCCTTTATTTTTTTTAGGGGCTATGGCGGCATGGCATTCCTGCGTAGCTTGCTCAAAAATGAGCTGCTCAATGAGTGGCATGGCCATATCAGTATCGCCAAAAATGCGTCCTGCTGCCTCAGTCATTCTTGCCACGAAATCTGAAAAAGGCTCCTGAGTCCCTTGTATAATCTTGGTGAGTGGAGTGCTCCCTTCTCCCTTTTTTGACAAGGCTTTCCATGCTCTTATAGCTGTATTGGCTACCTGGCGGTAGGCGCCATAAGGATAGTTTGTCTGGGCAGCGGCGAAGCGCCCTCGCCTGGTCAGGAGGTCAAAGATCCATTGTTGTTGTTCTGGAGTTAAGGCCTGAGCGTTAGCTCTGGCCTGTTCCTGGGCCGCCTCATGCCACAGGGCTTTCCATTCCAAATATTGACCCATGCTGACGAGCGACGCTTTTGCAACTGTCTCCCAGTCAGCCGGAGTCATGGCAGTCAAGGCCAATCTGTCCAATTGGGCTAAGGTAAAATTAGCAGTCACTCCATACTTTCTGACTGACTCTGCTAACTCTTTTATTTGGTTGTACTCCACAGGTGCATGCACCCACCTGTTTTCCAGGCATAAACAGGGGAAGGCCAGGTGCAACTTTCTCTTGACCTTGTCAGGGATAAATGAAAAAGTCCTTGGCCCAAAGCACTCCTCATAAGAAGGCACCGGAGGGGCAGTTGGGGGAGGGCGTAGCTCATAAGGAGGCGGATGGGCCATTTGGGATGACCTCATGGCCCTACCGCTGGAAGACCGTGCCCCATTATGGGGATATCTTTCCCTCTCATATCTAGCCGCTTCTTCTTCTAATTCTGCCTCCTCCACTATATCTAGTTTTTCTACCTCTTCTCCTGAGCCAGAACTTTTGT